GTTAAAGGAAAACAAAATCTAGTCTACAAACTGAAAAAGAGTCTCTATGGCCTGAAGCAGGCACCGAGACAATGGTACAAGAAGTTTGATTCATGCATGGTGGATCACGAGTACACAATAACGGTAGCAGATCAGTGTGTATATTTCTGAAGGTTTTCGAATGGAAACTTCATCATCCTACTATTGTATGTTGATGATATGCTGATCATCGAACATGATACTATTATGATCAACAATTTGAAAAATGATTTGTCGCAGTATTTTGACATGAAGAATTTAGTCCTAGTATAGTAGATTTTGGGCATGAAGATTGTTCGTGACAGAAAAGCCAAGAAGATATGATTGTCACTGGAGAAATATGTTGAACGGGTGATTGAAAGGTTCAACATGAAAGATGCTAAGCCAGTCAGCACACCACTAGCCAACCATTTCAAGGTGACAAAGCATTTGTGACCCACGACCAGATTTGAAAGGAAGAAATAGAGCCAATCCCCTATTCCTCTACACTAGGAAGTTTGATGTATGCAATGGTGTGTACCCGACCAAATATAGCTCACGCAGTTAGCGTTGTGAGCAGATTCCTCGCCAATCCAAGAAAGTAGCATTGGGATGCAGTTAAGTGGATTCTGAGGTACCTTAAGTGTACATCTAAAATGTGTTTGTGCTTTGGAGGAGCTAAACCAGTCTTGGAAGGCTATACTGATTCAGATATGGCAAGCGATCTTGATGGTAGGAAATCTACATCAGGATTTCTATTTACTTTTGTAGGGGGGGCTGTGTATTGGCAGTCCAAGCTGCAAAAGTGTGTTGCTTTATCCATAACTGAGGTAGAGTATATTGCCGCAACAGAAGCTGGGAAAGAAATGTTGTGGTTAAAACAGTTTCTCCAAGAACAGTGACTAAAGCAGGAAAAGTTCACGGTACATTGTGATAGCCAGAGTGCCATAGACCTGAGCAAGAATTCTATGTGCCATTCTCGCACAAAGCACATCGATGTTCGGTATCATTGGATACACAAAGTGATGGAAAAACAGTTATTGGAATTGGTCAAGATCCACACAGATAAGAATCCAACTGACATGCTTATAAAGGTGGTCTTGAGAGACAAACTCTAAGTATGCAGGGACATTGCTAGAATGGACTTCCAGTAAGGATCCTACTCCCCATAGGTGTGGAGGGGGAGAATTTTTAAAGATCCACACCACGTGAAGGTGTTTTTTTGGAAGTCAAGAACGGAGGCTACATAATTTTTTTTTTTTTTTTTCCAACTTAGGGTGGTTGTGTATTAAGCTTTCCATTTATGTTTATGGTTGATGGTTGGCAAGCAAATGTTGAACTTTGGTGCTCCCATTTGTGTATAAAATGGGAAGAGTTGTGAGCTTAGATCATCAGAAAGAGAAAGAAGGAAACACAAAGTGTAATCTGTGAGTGAGAGTGCTATATAGAGAGAGAGTGAGGTGTGAGTGTTGTAAACTCCCTCCAGAAAAAATTCTATAGTGGATATTTCTCCCGTGGATGTAAGCTATTGTTGAACCACGTAAATTTCTTGTCTCTTTTCTGTGTGTGATTGATTTCTGGGTGTGTCTAATCCTAACACCATTGTCCTTTGTAACTTTGTCCTCAAAGCCCCTCATTGATCATGATTAAAGTTAAAGAGATATATTGTATGAAAGAGAAAATATTTGGGACAAAGGAACAAAAGAGTGTATGATAGAGGATCCTCAGTCCCATTCTAAGAATGAAAAAGTACTAGTTGTAGTAAGAGAACAACGTCTTTCCAGTAACTTGATGTTCAATTGTGAGAGAAGTTGGGGCCCATCACAATTGCACGTGCTGTTATTAGAGAGAAGCCAACCCCTAATAATATAATGAAGAAGTTGCATCCTTAAGTTGTAAAAATTTAAACTAACATATGTTCGACTTGTTCTTTATTCTTTTCTTCCACAGCGCGTGTGGTACGACTTTCCTTCACACTTTTTGTACCATGAAAACACTAATGGAATGACAGTAAAAGAACTATTTGAAATAAACCACATAGACCTACAAGACAAGGTCGAGAAAGCTTTCAAATATATGAACAACGACTTCATGCTTGTTACCGCTCTCATTGGCATAGTCAATTATGCGACACTCTTCACTCTTCCCGGAGGTTACAATAAAGACAACCAAAGCAAAACCTATGGCAAGCCCGTTCTCCTTATCCGGAAGGATACACAGGATGATACTGTGAAGTTCTTGTGGTACATATCTATTGCCCTATTTTCTTCCCTATTTGCCTTGGTCGCTATGTTTTCAATTCAGTTGTCATGATTTCGTAGCAACGATTTCTACATAGCCTTGCCATTCAGATATATTGTTGCTGTGATGGCTCTTGCTTGCTCCACAATCTTCAATATCACGGCATGTTTCCAAGCCTATATTCTTGATTGCATATCTTTAATTTGAATTCTTACATGTGGCCCACTGGTGTTTTGATGGCCCTAGTTTACATAGATGCACTATACTTGACCTCTTATTATATGTTCTTTGTGATTGGTTGTTTGTTCACCTATAAATGCCAGGAAATGTAGAATCAGTTTGTTTAATTGGTATGTATATGCAAGAATATCAAAGGATTGCTATTTTACATTTGTGACACAATGACTTGTACTAAGATTGTTTGAATTTTTATATTGATTGTAATAAATAGATGTATGCAAGTTTCAATAATACTTGTTCTTCTCATGAGATAAAGTTCATTCACCAAATATTAGTTAATTGATGGAAATTTAAAGTGCAGTAACTTCTAAAATAATAAATTTCCTCTAGAACAGATCAAAGAATGATGACGTAAGATCAAATTGTGCAACCCTACGAAGATCATTTATCTGTTGAATGAGTGTCATGATCTGCCATGGGACTCTAGGGATAAGCATGGAATGGTTTTGTACGGTTTAGAGCGGAAAACCAAATGCTGCCAAATGTTCCTAGAAATTTGGATAAAATCAAATTGTAAAAATCTTGGAACTAAACTTCACCAAACCTGTACAAAGTGTTCGATTAAGTTTGGAACAACTGTTCAATTGTGAGGTCAGGTATAGTGCATCTATGTAAACTAGGGCCATCAAAACACCAGCAGGCCACATGTAAGAATCCAAATTAAAAGATATGTGATCAAGAATATAGGTTGGAAACATGTCGTGATAGTGAAGATTGTGGAGCAAGTAAGAGTCATCACAACAACAATATATCTGAATGGCAAGGCTATGTAGAAATCGTTGCTACGAAATCGTGACAACTGAATTGAAAGCATGGCGACCAAGGTAAATAGGGAAAAAAATAGGGCAATAATATGTACCACAAGAACTTCATAGTATCATCCTGTGTATCCTTCCGGATAAGGAGAACAGGCTCGACATAGGTTTTGCTTTGGTTGTCTTGATCGTAACCTCTAGGAAGAGTAAGAGTGACGCATAATTGATTGTGCCAATAAGAGCGGTAACAAGCATGAGGTTGTAGTTCATATCTTTGAAAGATTTCTCGGCCTTGTCTCGTAGGTGTATATGGTTTATTTCAAATAGTTCTTTTGTTGTCATTCCATTAGAGTTTTCATGGTACAAAAAGTGTGGAAGAGAGTCGTACCACACGCGCTGTGGAAGAAAAGAATAAAGAACAAGTCGAATATATGTTAGTTTAAAGTTTTACGGCTTAAGGATGTAACTTCTTCATTATATTATTAGGGGTTGGCTTCTTTCCAATAACAACACGTGCAATTGTGATGGGCCCCAACTTCTCTCACAATTGAACATCAAGTTACTAGAAAGACTCTGTTCTCCTACTACAACTAATACTTTCCCGTTCTTAGCATGGGACTGAGGATCCTCTATCGTACTCTCTTTTGTTCCTTTGTCCCAAATATTTTCTCTACCATACAATATATCTTTTTAACTTTAATCATGATCAATGAGGGGCTTTGGGGACAGAGTTACAAAGGATAGTGGAACGGAGGATATGGTTCTTTGTTATTGGTATTGATTTGCTAGGGTACATTGGCTGTAAACTGAATATATATTAGTTTGAAGTTTTGGTTAGGGCCCAAGGATGTAATTTTTCCATTATACTACTAGGGGTTGACTTCTCTCCAGTAACATGTCCAATTATGATGACCCTAAACTTTTCAACAGTTGAACTGTTGAACAACGAGTTACTAGGAAGTGCTCTCATATAACAACTAAGATTTTCCCATTCTTATTATTGGGTTGAGGAACCTCTTCTCACTTTCTTCTATCCCTTCCTAATTTTTTTCCCTACCATACCATTTATCTCTCTTTGACTCTAATCCTATATAGTAGAGGGGCTTTGGAACAGAGAGACAAGACAAAAAGCGGCAAAGGATTTGGTTCCTTATTATTGGTGTCGATTTGCTAGGGTATTATAGGGTGTGCATTATTAAAAACTTATCTAGTTTGTGTTGAATGAGGGACTGTATGTGCAAGGGGTACTCTTAAGAGCTCGACACCTTTTAGAAACAAAAAATTATAGTAGAGAGTTTGCCTAAAATAATAATAAAAAACGGTGAAATTTATCTGGTAACAAATATTGTTTTCCTAAACTAAATACATTTAATCGTACCTTAAACCAACATATATCCCACGTCATCTGGTTCAAGTGTCCAAGAACAACTTTAGGATTGGTTTCTATGTTGGCTGCCAGATGCAATACAGTGTTCCCGTCATTATCAATATCCGACAACAGCCCATCCTTGTGGTCAACATTTTTCTTCAAGTAGTCATATAGAACTTTGTCTTTCTGCTCAACAACTATGTGCAGTATGTTCTTTCCATTCTTGTCAAAGCTGTATGCAACATCTGAGAATATTTCTAAAATCTCCTTAACCAACTCAATGATGCCATTCTCCGTTGCCTGAACAATTGGGTTCTTTAACTTTGTCTTATTGTCTGAGTTTTTTGAAGTGGAATATAAGCATTTACCTTCTGAGTAATGACTCCAATCACTCTCTTCATTTACCAGCTTTTTTGCCAGTGCGAGTGCACATTCATGTTTTTGCTTTGCATCATCAATTTCTCTAAGCCAAGCACAAACTTGGAGAAAGAAGAGAATGAACAATAAGGAGAGAAACAAGACCCTATCTATAATCATAGTAACAAGTTTATAAGAGATCAATTATTATTAAAATACTAATAGACTTTCTAACTCAAAAAAGAAATTTGGTGTTTTTGAGCAAATGTCATAAGAGCATATAATAAATTTATCATAATTAGAGAGTAAGAGCCACCAACCTCTAAGAATCCTTCTAAATTTGAACCCTGTGATAAGAAATAACTAATTAGGTGAAAGAAAATCAACGGTGAAAATATAAAAATAAACTAGGGATTAAAAAAACAAACTCCTCTTGAAAATGCAACATATATGTAATCATATATGTATGACTTGTAAAGCCACATTTCTTGATTACTATATATATATATCGCCAATGAATTTCATTATTTTTTTTTTACTTCTTGTTTACGTGGATCAACACGATAAATGTCATATTCAACGTGGGAGATGAAGAAACTGGGCATAGAGTGATTTTTTTTTTTTCGTAGTAGAAAACAAACAAAACAAAAATCGAACCTGGGATTAATTTTGTTGCCAAATGCCCTAAGTTGGAGATATTATGTCCATTTTGATGTTGATTTTCCTCATCACCAGCATGTTTCCACCCATAAACCATCGATGGAATACCTGCTTAATAATATACAAAGACACCATCTAAAATTTCCTTTGATGTACTCTCTGAGCTAGGAAAGCATGGATATGTAACACAACATGATACGGATATGGTCATAACACGACACAGAAATATCGATACGTAATTTTAAAAAAATGTAGGACAAGACATGTGGAAGACAAACGCAAAATATATAATTTTATATATTTAAACTATGTTGTAGAAATAATTATTATATATCATATATATATATATATATATATGTGTGTGTGTGAATATTTAAATCAAAATAATAATTTTAAAGTCTAAAGGAGGAGAATAAGTATAAATTTATATTGTTTTTATTTTATCATAGAATTTCAATTTATTTTATTTAAACTTGTAATATGTTTTATGTGTCTGAGTGTTGGAAAGTGTCCAACGAGTGTCATATCGATGTCAGACGTGACATGCTACCTTCTTAGAAGTGTTCATACTTCTTAGTCTCCAAGTATTTTTCAAATCAAATCATGGAGCAAAAAATTTTACAGACAAGTGACAGTGACTCGTTTTTGTTGGATAGTTGGTGACAAACAATCTATCTCATTAAATGTGTATTGTGATTTCTTTATTTACGGAAAAGACTATTAATATATAGTAATGGTAGGACTTACAAAAGTATATGAAAATTGCAATAAGCTGGAGGGGAATGAAAGGCCTACTGCCCAAATTGACCAAGGAATAAGGTGAGCCACTATTAAAGGACAAGGGTTTTGTGGCCAGTAGATCCAAGGGAGTCTTTCCTTTGCCATCATACTTGTGAGCAAGTTTAGGGAATGTTTCCAATATGCTCATAACAAGACCAAGTTCACACAAAAAATATATATATTAAACTCAATTATTTAGTTATCTAATTAGTAGTTTGCCTTTAGATAAATAAAGGGTTAATTATACAAATAGTCTCTCAAATATACATTTTGTAACATTTTAATCCCTAGTATTAGTAGCATTGTTCAAAATCAGTAATCAGAGGGGTATTTTTAGCATTTTACCAAAAAAAGATTAATGAAGAAAATGCAAAAAAAAAAAAAAAAATAAAAATTGCATATTTTAAAATTTTGAATCATGTGCGTATTTGATCATTTTGGTTTTGTCAGTGCTTCACGTAAAATTCAAAAAATAAGAGAATTGCTAGATATTCAGAATTTATGCACCAAAAAAATACAAATTCATTATAAGTGTAAGTAGTCTCATACAAAGTAAAATCACAATCCGACATTATTTTTTTGAATAAGTCAATGAGTACTAGTTTTGAGTGGCCAAATCTTCCACTCATACATAAACAACTATGTGGGCTGATGGACTCATAAATTCAATGTAAATTCAACTTTCAATTCACTCGTGGTACTAGATATAAATGATAATACCAACAATCTCTAACTAGAAAAGTAAATGTTTGAGTTTGAGAAACTTTTGGTCTAGTAAGTTCGTAAAACTCACTAGGATAAGTGGTATTATTCGATAAAAGTAACGAGGAAAGCTCCAATTGAAAAATATTTTGAATTCATTGAAAAGAAAGAGAAGTGAGCTCACTAAAATAGTCTCCCATGATAGCAGCATGAAGAACAGAGGAAACAGTAGTTCTCGCCATCACACTATGATCACTGTGAATTCTTCCATCTTTGATGAGAAGATCAAAAACATTCTTCCTTCCGCCCAAAGCCGCAATGAATAGAGGAGTCTCTCATGAACTATTGCTCACCATAACCAAATCTCTCTCATACTCCAACAGCACCTCCACAATTTCTTTTTGACCAAACCTTGCAGCCTCATGTAGTGTCGTGTCGCCATTTTTATTTCCTAGTGAAGTGAAAATAAATAATGAAGTTATCCTTCGCTCAAGTACTTAAGATTTTTCGATGAGTTACTAGTTAATATGATATTAGAATAGATAATAAATTTTATAATTAGAAATTTAAACCTCATTATCTACTCAACAATTAAATAACTTAGCTTTTCTCCTAGTCATCTTGGCAACAGGGGCAAAGGTCTCTTCATAATCAATACCATACTCTTGGGAAATATCCTTGGCAACCAGGCAAGCCTTGTAGCTTTTAAAAGAACTATCAGAATGAGTCTTGACTTTGTAGACCCGTTTGCAACCAACCAGATTCTTACCAGCAAACAAATGAGCCAACTCCTAAGTACTGGTTTTCTGTAAAGCAAACAACTCATCCTCTATAGCTTGAATCCAATAAGGATACTGATAGGCCTCTTTGTAAGACTGAGGTTTTGAAAAAATAGTGTATAACAGACAAAAATGTACAATAAGAAGGAGAAAAACATGTTTTAGTAAAATCAAGTTTGATTACCTGTTTATGGATGTGAAGGGGATACTTATGGTTAGCAAGATTAGAGTCGTCAGAAGAAGGGGGATTAGCAGCAGGGGTAGAGACAATTGGTAGAGGGAGAGCCTTGCGACGAGAATAGACTAACAATGGGCCGTTAGAAGGTGGAGAGGATGTACTAGACGCATGGAGTACAGTGGAGAAGGACTCAGCAGGAGGGAGGTTAGAAGGAGAAGAGGGAACAAGCTCATGGGGAATAGTAGAGATGTATTCATCAGGAGGGACATTAGAAGGAAATAGATCAATGTGAACCAAATCCTCTTTGGAAACTGGAGTCGTGAGAGGCGGAAGCTGAAAGTAAGCTAGACGTTCCAAAAAGGCAACATGGCGGGAGATATAAAGGCAACGGAAAACATGATCGTAACAGCGATAGCCTTTCTGAGTAAGACTATAACCCAAAACGACACATAGGACAAACCGAGGACAAATCGGGCACTAAGTTTTGTCCAATCTTTCTGGGAAAGAAGGTCAAAACATGCAGACCGAAAAACATAAAGGAGAGAGTAATTAGAAAGTTGGAAAAATAGAGTCTCATAACGAGAACGACCAGATAGTAGGGCGTAGGCATATGGTTAAGAAGAAAAGCAGCGGTAAGAACGGCTTCCCCTCCAAAAGGGAGCCGGAACAGAGGTAGAAAGGAGAGATCTAGCTGTCTCAAGAAAATGACAATGTTTACGCTCTCAGCACGACCATTTTGGGCAAGAGTATCAGCATAGGAAGTTTGGTGAATGGTACCTAAATTGGCCAGATACTCACAGAACTCAGTTTTAAAATATTCCCTACCCAAATCAGGTCGTAACAATTTAATGGTAACTCCAAACTGTGTAGTGATCGTAGACTGAAAGGTGCGGTATATTTGGTAGAAGTCAGATTTGTGAGTCATAAGATAAACCCAAGTATAGGAACCAAAGTAGCCCAATGTGTAGAACGAGGAGTAGAAACGAACTGACTAACCACATACACAGCATAAGCAAGATCAGGGCGAGTGACAATCAAATAAACTAAACAACCCACAACCTCGCTATAGAAAGTGGGATCATCCAAAGGGACACCATTAGGAGAGTTGAGCTTCACATTAAGTTCAATAGGTGTATCAGAAACCTTAGTATCGGTAAGACCGACACGGTGAATAACCTCATTAGCATACTTGAACCTTTGAATGTTATAAGATGCATTTGAAGGGAAGGAACTCTGTAGCTGTTTTAGTTCTACATCATCATAGCAATAATATGCTTGCTTTCCCTTCTCAACCTGATTATTTTGACAAGAGAGAACAAACTTTTGTGAAGTTACTAGAACATTTTTTCAATTGCACCCATCAAATTCGAAAGAACACCTTGTATAAGGGCCGCACGCCAACATAAATGCAACATTCATCAAATAAAGTTCTCTGCAAAGAACAAAAATTAAATAAACCAAATTGCTTTTGAATTTTTTAGGCATTTCAAGAAAAAAATTATTTTTTCTTCTCTTTTTCAGAACAACAAAATTTAATAGATGATTATCTCAACTATCTACCTGGTATCTAAAGAAAAATGTCAATAGTAAAGTTCGGATGTGAGCACCATCCACATCAGCATTTGTCAAGATTATAATTTTATGATAACAGAGAGCTTCCTTTTAAAATCCACTCCCTAAAACCAGTTGTTACCCAAAAAGCAACCTAAGAGGGGGGTGAATTAGGTTTCTCCAAATTAAAATTAATAATACCCCAATAAAATTAACTACTAGTACAACAAATTATGACTAGCACAATAGATAAATATAATTAATGAAATAAAAATAATTAAAACAAGTGTCTTAACAACTATTTCAGTTAATGATTTTAGCGAAATAAAAATGTGAAATATAACTATGGCAGTTTAAAATAAAATAGAGAGATAAGGGAGAGAGATGCAAACAAATTTATAGTGATTCGGCTTTAACTCGGCTTACGTCCACTCCTCAAGCTTCACTTGAGATTTTCCACTATCTTCTAGCTTCACAGGGGTGCTAGCAACCTCTTTACAAATGGAGCAATCCTCCACGGATATTACACAGACTTCACAAGTCCAAACCCTTACAAATCTTAGGTGATTCACAATCACTCTCAAGATTCCAAGAACACAGTGTTTGAAACACTTTTACAAGATAACACTACTAAAATTTTTGCTTTTTGCGACGGTATTTTGCCGTCACTAATACTCCTAATGTCGTCGCAAAAAACTTTTTGCAACGGCAAAAGGGCGGGTCGCAATTGGGGGCGTTGCAAAAGAGTTTTTGCGACGGCACAGTGCTGTCGCTAATGTTTTGCAACGGCATTTTTGCCTTTTGCGATGGCATTTTGCAGTCGCTAATAATATTTGAAATTTCTCGACTTTTTGCGACGGCACTATTTTACCGTCGCTAAAAAAGTTATTTGAGACAGCAAAAAAAATTCGTCGCTAATAGTCTTTTTTTTTTTTTTTGTAACGGCAAGAACACTGTTTTGTGACGGTGTGGTGTCGTCGCAAAAAGTATTAAAAATATGAAAATTTCTATTTTTGCAACAGTGTACTGCCGTCGCAAAAAGTATTAAAAAAATAATAAAATTTATATTTTAAATAATAAATTTCTATTTTTTGCAACAGTTTAG